AAAAAAACCCAACTGGCGGTACAGGCAGTATTCATTCTGTTGTACATAGAGCTGCTATGAGTTGGGAATGCGTTGATTGCACCAAACAAGAACAATCTAACTGAAAACTTTTTCCAACAAAAAAACCAAAATATTTTAGGTATAAATAATACATATTAAGTAAGACACTAAATCCTTTGAATATATCTTCAAATTATACTGTTAGCCCTAAAATGTAAAAAAAGTGGTCTAGATAAACAACAAAAATTATGAAATGCTTTCAAGATACAGTGCATTATAACTGCTCACAGATTCTCATAAGAATTTTTGAAACCTATAAATAAATGTGTACTGTTTAGCCTCAGACTTTAAGCTAATACGTATTTATGGACAAATGTATGTCACTATGAGTAAAATTTTCCAAACAATTATTTGTGTGTGTGTGTGTGTGTGTGTATGTATGTATATATGTATGTATATATGTGTATATGTGTGTGTGTATATATATGAAGCTGAATTCCTACTCAAACTGCTCCCACCACTAGTAGCTTTAAACTGGTGTCTTACTAAAGATAACATCTCAGAATTTAGAGAAAATTGTAATTAAATCTCAAACTCTCCTTCAACTGATGGTCTTCTCAATACTTACAGAAAAAACCCCACAGCAAAACACTTCTGCATGTTTCTAAAATTTATACAAAGGGGGAAAATACTCACCAAGAACAGGGGTTGAAGTCTTCTGTTGTTGATAGGAGGCCATGATACTGTTGGCAGTTGAAGTGGGGCCTAGAATCTATGTAGAAAGTGTAGTGTATCAGCAAGCATTATCTCAGATTTCTGATCACTGCAATTACCAAAGGCCAAGTCACCTGCAGTTAACAGCCCAAACTGTAAGCCCTCATTTTTCACTGGTGTGCTATCAAACACTATTCTCTTTTCTATATAATTTTAAATTGCTAGTTAAGAAGAATTTGAGCTATGGTCTTGGAGAAGAGTGATGAATATCCACCAAATGAACAAATATGCCTTGGAGAAAGTGCTGCCAGAAATACTCCTTGGAGACAAAGATGATGAAGCTTCGTCTCTCATACTTTGGGTATGCTGCTAGGAGAAGCTGTTCCTTGGAGCCAGACATCATGCTTGGAAAAGTGAAGCGTCGACAGAGGAGAGGAAGACCCTCAGTTAGGTGGTTTGACACAATGACTACTGTACTGGGCTCAAGTTTATCAGGAAGTGTAAGGATGGCAAAGGATTGGACAAGGGTTTAGATCTGTTGTTCACAGGGTCGCTATGGATCATACTCGACTTGACAGCACCTAACATAACAAATTTCTCCACAATCTCAGATCTCTAATCTCCCTTCTCATTCTCTCATTATTCTTCTCTCATTTTCCTTCACAACAAAGCTATGAAAATAGAAAACAAAACAAAATATCCCACAAGGCCACATGCCTGGTCTTTTCCAAATGTGCATTCCATACTCTGAGGGGAGGAGGAATAAGAGGTTACAGAACACAAATGGGTATCAACTGTACCCAAAGACTTGTGGGGAACAAATATTTCTAAATTACAACACTGCGGAGTTAACCACACTATTGGCACACTGTCGAGGAAAGAGACTGCATCAGACACCAGGCTGGCAGCAAGCCGGCTTGGGCTCACAGCAGCCGCCTTCTGTTTTCCTTTTTTATAGTATTTTTTTCATTGTTGAACATTTTCTTCCTACCCCCAAACCCCACCCCACAATGTATTCCTTGTTCCAGACTATTGTAATACGTACAATGCCTAATCATATATTCCTTTCAGACAGTTCTTCCCCTCCTCTGTTCCAGTGTGTGCTCATTATCCATTCTTTTCCTATTCTCTCCCTAATGCCCCATATCTGTTCTATTTTATAATAGCAGTGTTATGCAGTGTTTGTCCTTTTGTGACTAAGATATTTCACTCAGCATAATATCTTCCAGGCTTCCCCATGCTTTGAAATGTTTCATGAGTTCATTCTTTTTCAATGCTATGTAATATTCCACGGCACTAGTTTGTGTGTTTTTTTAATCCATTCACTTAATGGGCACTTGGGTTGCTTCCATCTCTTTGCTGTAGTGGATCATGTAGCAATAAACACCTCAACAAGAAAAAAGGTAAACAACCTAAACACAAAATGGACACAATACAAATAGTTCACCAATGACAACATTCAGATGGCAAACAAACACATGGATAAACATTCAAAATCCCTCGCTATCAGAGAGATGCAAATCAAAACAACTATGACATACCATCTCACTCCAGCAACAATAGCAAAGTTCAACATGGCAGCAAACAACAAATGCTGGTGAGACTGTGGAGAGACTGGAACCTTTATTCACTGCTGTTAGGAATGTAAAATGGTACAGTTACTATGGAAGGCAGTCTGGTGCTTTCTCAAAAGGTTGGAACTAAGGGAGCTCTGGTGGCCTACGGCAAAGAGCTGCACTGCAATCCCAGAGGCACGTGGTTTGAATCCATCAGATGCTCTGCTGGAGAAGGAGGGACAATCTCCTCCTGTACCATTCAGATCTGATTTGACGGTACACACACACACACACACACAAAATAAGAAGAAAAGTGAAAAATAAAAAGTTGGAAATAGAAGTGCCATTTGACCCAACAATTCCAGTGTTGGAAATATACCCTAAAGAAATCAGAGTCACAACTCAAATAGAAGTATGGGTTGTTTTTGTTTGGTTTTTTTGCTTATCCCTGAATATACACTCCTTGTTGTTAAGGGCCCAAAAGCAGTCACATGTATCCAAGATATTTCTTCCAAGTGCCTCCTGGTGTCCTGCACACATACCATTACTAACAACTGAAACAAAAACATAGTTTTGCTAGTTCTTTTCCTTAAGAGGTTAATAAAGTTGGTATCTTAGAAATGAATATGATTTGTAATAGAAGAGGGTACAGGGAAGAGCATGGGGGAGGCATTATAAATTCCCAGCTTCAAAAGTACTAGAGTTGTGAAGATGATGCTTACATTTCCACTAGAAAATAACTATTACAGTGAATTCAACTATTCGTGAGGTCCTGGTAGCATAATGGATAAGTGCTCAGTTGCTAACCAAAAGGTCAGCCGTTGCGACCCACCAACAGCTCTAAGGAGGGAAGATGTGGCAGTTTGCTTCCATTAAGTTTAGTGTCTTAGAAGCCGTAAGGGACTGTTTCTACTGTCCTCCAGGGTCGCTCTAGTTGGAATTGACTCAATGGCAATGGGTATGGATTCTTTTATTTCCACGTTAAAGACTTTTACATCTATTTTATAACCTTGAGAGCATTCCAATGAACTATACTTGAAAAATGCAATCTCACTGCCACATAGCCAATTTCAACTTACAGCAGCCCTCCTTCAGGTTTCTGAAATTATAAATCTTAATGGCACTGACTGTTAATCTTTCTCCTAACAATGAAATACTACTGCCTTTAAAATGGAGAGCACTGAGATTCAGTAAATATATGGGCTTTCTAACCACTGAGTTAGTCAATAAATGTTTCTCCTCTAGCTCCAGGGGTATTCTCTCTATAATGCTTATGATTCTGGAGCTGGGAACCTGACAGAACATCTCTGTCACCACTGGCTCCCTGTTCTGCTCTGCCATAGGGGACATCTGAGGAAGTACAAGGCTGGCGACAGAAGAATAGGAATGCTCTTGTGTTCACTTGTTTCCTTAGCAATTCCCAAAACAGGAGCTCTTAACCCTAGGTAGGAGAATGCCCCTACCGTCTATTCTGGTTTCCACTTACGTCTTCACTTGGTAGTAGCCTTATCATGTCCCCTGGGAAATATCAACACCAACATCACCTTCTAAGATGGCTAAGTCCCAGCACAGCAACCATCTCAAGACTTCTAAATTCTAATAATCCCAAACTCTCCCCCTTAGAAACTGCCTTTGAGAAAATCACTATCTTGGATATATTCTAGCTATGTATTCTCCTTTTGTTTTTTCAGTCCTCTAAAACTTGTTTAATCGATTCCACATTTAAATTATCTCTGATAACTGGTGTGGTTTTGGTTTGAATGGACCCTGGCCCACTGACCAGTCTTTTCATCCAAATTCAAACTCTGAGCAAGAGATCTCATACATGAAGCCCGAGCAGAGGTATAAAAAAATAAATAGATCATAACTTGTTAAAATTCTTGATGAGATAGGAAGTTGATTCAAGTTTAAATTTAATTAGCAAAGCTTGTCCCCAACAACATAGCTGAAGTGGTAAGTCAAGGTTTCCATACAGCAAGGGGAAAAACAACTATCTGGGGGTTTTTAAAGAGAAAGAACTCTGATCCCATCAGCAAGTTCCCACAGGAGAAGTGAGAAGCCTTGACTCTAGTGGTAGCCCCCCCCCACCAAACAAAATCTATGAAAGCCTGGGCCACTCCATTATGTCATCTAGGAAGGAGGTAGGAATAGCTCCTTAACCTGTACCAGATGGATTAGGAGTCACTTAACTCTGGCACATTCAATTTTACAAAAACAGGACAGTTTAAAGTTGTGTGAATGTAATAACCTGTGGCAATGAAGTACCCTCTGTTTTTAAAGAGAGACTTACAGGTGTGGCTGAATTCTGCTGGGAAGCAAGAGTCCAAATTTCAGGAAGTGACTTTTCTATCAGCTGCAGAGTATCTTCAAAGGCCTTTTGTAATTCCTTTGCTTGGTCATCAAATGCAAAAAGAAACAGCATCTTTAAAATGTGGTATATTTCATCTAGAAAGAAATCAGAAACAGTTGCTAGCTGAGGTCCAATCTCAATGCTAGTATCCCACCAATTTCTTTTCCAAGCAAAAAATACACTAATACTGTATTACTACAATTACCTTCCACAATGTCTTCTTTTCCCAAATGCTAGGATCACTCAACACATTTACTATAAAAGTAAAAACACAAACACTGGCGCCATGTGGGATGGAGCCCCTCCATGAGCCTTGACCCTCAGGACTCATCTCTCATAGGTCAGTGCAATGCAGGTCAGATGGAGAAACACTTCCGTGCTAAAGTCAAAAAGGGGGTTCCAGGAACGTGCCCCGAATGGCCCTTCCTGTTCTGTTTTTCTTCACGCTGGAAATTGTGTCTTACTATCTTACAGACCTCTGCTTGTTTACAGACCTCTGCTTGTTTACATGGCTCATTTACCATTTGCCTGTGGGCAACACAGAGTGTCAGCACTGAGACTCTACCTTTCAGTTTCTCAACACTCTGCACCACCTCGTTCAGGGCCTCCAACAGGGCCAGATCCTCCAAGGGGCTTCCTTCTTTGAGGCTGTGCTTCTTCCGCTCTGCTTTGCGTCGATTCTTAGATGATCGCCTGTTAGAAATCAGAAAAATGCTTAAAACAGGACTCTCCTTGTGCTGCAGACACTAAGCGAATATCTGTTGTCTACCTCCTTTCTAGGAAACTAGAGCCTGCAGATGGATTTGTATTTGGGGAGGAAATGGGGACAAGATGTTAAAACCAGACCTTAAATAACTGAGAGAGTTAACACTTACAGGCAGGAAATAATGGGGGTGGGGGGGGAGGAAAGAACCTTAAAAATCTCCCAAAACAACTGGGATAAAAAATGTTGCTTCAGAGTTTAAAGATCAGAATAAAATGAGGTTGTCTGTGGGAAATAGATGGGAATCTCCTCCTGTTTGATTGACAGCCTCTAAAAAAACATCTAGATGGTCAGCTTTGAGTCTGTTCTGACTCACTGGTAATGAGTATTTTGAGTTTTGAGTATCCAGGAAGAGCTATAAAATTTAATATAATATCAAACAATTTTATAATAAAAAACTAAGTCAACATAAACAAAATAAAAGTTAAAGGAAAATAGACATGCCAGACTATAATCAGAACACTGACAAATCTATGTAAATTCGATTCTTTCTGACTCAGAGCTCTTTAATTCTACTAGCAGTGCTGTCAGACACTATTAACAGAACAGTTCTTGTTGCCTTTTCTACAATTTCTGATCATTCCACAAATTCAAAGATCTGAATTCCTAGAGCAAAATTCAGTTTAAAGACATACTTCTGCATCCCTTTATGTCTCCTAACCAGGACTATAAGGCCTTTGCTAGTTAGATCCTACCTTTCTCGTTAGATGTTGTGCTAGCATATGGCAGCATACACAGAAGAGATCTGACCAATGGCTATGCTGGGTAAAAGAGCAGAGATTTATGGAAAATTTGTCATTTCTTCCAATGCTGACTGAACTGAAGAAGCTTGAGCTCTCTTCGTTGAATCTCTCATTTTCCTGTTTCTATACATTATAGGTACTCAACAACTTGTTCAATGAGCAGAAGCAGGGTACCAGTTCAAGTGCCTCACAGGCAGGGCTGACATAAGAGCTGCAGACCAAGTGTAATCTCTTCAACATGCTGGAGACGGCGTGGCACAAGGCCCTCACTGCCAGAATAATGTCCATCTCCTTGCCCCACTCTCCTGGTAGGACATCAAGCTATTTGTTTTCATTTCCACCATAAACCTAAGAGATGGCCGTGGTGTACATACGCCGATATCCTGGAGTTACTGTGAGAGTATTTGCCACTCATGTCACTGCCACTCATGACACTACTGGTTTCAGAGAAGAGATCTGACTCTTGACCACGAGGTCCCTCCTCATCTATAGGCAGAAGCAGATGCATAACAAAACAGTCAGTGCACATGTAGGCTTACCTTCCGTGAAGTGAATGGAATACAACTGGGGCATATCTAAGAATGGATGAAACTTACTATAAGTTCATCTCAAAATGATTCAACTGTTACTACTATAAGCCAGTACTTTACTAAACGCCCTTCCACCACCACAGAATCTTTGGGAGAGGAAATTGATTTCTGAACACAGACGTGTGAACAGCTGCTCTGGGTGGAGGGAGATGGCAGGGTTAGGGCATAGCCCATGCCACTCCTGGTCTTGCTCTGCCCTCCCTCAATCCACATGAACACAGGTCTGAGAGGCCACTAAAGGCTTCACAGCAGCCTCAGGCCTCCCCAGTGGCACAGTCATCAAATCACAGGAATAACAACAAGAAACTAAAAAACTACCTGTAAGCACCAATGATCTTCCAGCAGACACAGACACTCACCCAGATTCATTTGCTGTGCTTGCTCCTTAAGCTCTCGAACCACCAGCAGCCGTTCCTTATGGCGAATAAACATGGTCGTCTGAGAGTCCAGAAATACCATGTAATTTTTTTGGGCTAAAGGATAAGATGCAAAAGAATTTGAGTAAGGTGGTTAAGCATGGAAAAATGTGAGGGATGGGCAGGTGAACAACGCTGAAATAAAAAAGTTTCTAAGTTTTTCAAATCAAGCTTCTAATTTTTCCATTGGTGAGAATTAATCTACATAGTTTTAGGAGAATTACCTGGAGAGGAGAGTCTAGAGTTCATCAGCCATATCCTGGAGTACAAATAAAGTTTTGAAATCACCTGAACAAAGACTTACTAACTAGCCTAGTAACTAGGACATAGGAAATAGTCAACAAAAATAGGCAACACTCACCTAAACACTTCTCCTTAATACCCATTAAAATGCCCATGGGTTCTGAACAAATACACCAATTTCTTATTTGTCCATTGGAATACACAAAACATTAAGAGCATTAGTAGAATTTATTTTTTAAAAGCTAAATATTACTCTTCAGAGACAGATTTATTAATTAGCATTAGACCTATGTAGATGCATCATCAGCACTTCCCAAGGTCCTCAGTAGAGAGGATAATATAAGAGCTGCCTAGATGGGCTGCTGTGTAAGTCAGAGAGGATGTCTAGCTAGTTAATGTTTTCCATGTCAATGTTAAAAGCCATATATAACTTGAATATTATGTTTAAAAAGGCAATTCTTAAAATCAATCCTCACTTCTTAAGATTCCTATCTGACAAATGTTACTCTTTCCATTTTGCTTTTAGTAATCACTGGAAGATTTTAGAATGAGTAACAAACACATGTTCTTTAAGAGTGCAGGGACTTTATTTGAAAGAATTCTTATTTATTTTTAATATTTTTCTGACCTGTATAAAAGTTTTATTTGATCAATGAACAGGTATATTCTTCATCTCAACAATCGAACACATTGTCATAGCATTGGAAATGACTCGTAGCTCACTCCACAGTTATGTATCATATGGAAGGAGACTGTTTATCCAAGTGTTTAAATTTTACCCTTTTTATTTCCTTTCTATTTCATTATTAAAACTTTTCAGAGATGCAGATATGATCTTTCACCACTGAAAATATCAGAAAATCTCTCTTAAGAATATTATCTTATATAACTGTATATAACTACTAAGTGCAGGAAATCTGCCATTTATCTAATACTATTACCTAACTGAGTTCATATTTAAGTTGATCAATTATTGTCACATAAAAAGATATTTAATCCTGGGAGCTCTGGTGGCCTAGTGACAAGAAGCTGAACTGCAATCCCGGAGGTGCCTGGTTCAAATCCACCATATGCTCTGCTGGAGAAGGAGGGACAATTTCCTCCTGTACCAGTCAGATACAATTTGATGGTACACACACAATAATAATTTTTTTAAAAAGAGATTTAATCTTACCTTATCACAAGTTTATACTATCTCAAGAGTTTATTAGTATTCAACAATTTAGCATATTAAAATATTCCAGTCAAAATTAAATGTTACATCTGTTGGAGAATTTTAATCAATTCTGTCTGCTGTTAGGGACCTCTCCAAAGTGCTGAAGAGCAATGGTATCTCTTTGGAGACTAAGGTGCGTCTGATACAGGCCATGGTCTTCGCAATCACCTGTTATGCATCAGAGAATTGGACAATGACCAAGGAGGATAGAAGGAGAATTGATGCCTTTGAGCTGTGGTGCTGGAGAAGAGTATTGAGAATACCATGGACTGCTAGGAAAACAAACAGATTTGTCCTGGAAAGGGTTAAACCAGGTGGCTCCTTGGAGGCAAGGATTCTGAGGCTCCATCTAACTTACTTTGGACATGTTGTGAGGAGAGACCGGTCCTTAGAGAGGGACATCATGCTTGGGAGGGTGGAGGGACAGCGCAGGAGAGGAAGGCGTTCTATGAGGTGGATTGATTCAGTGACTGGGATAATTGGGATGGGAGTGTCAGAGACAGTGCGATTGGCACAGGACAGAGCGGAGTTTAGGGCTATTGTACATAGGGTCCCTATGAGTTGCAGGCGACTCGACGGCACATAACAACAACAATACATAAAGAGATAAAATGAAGAAAGGGACTGCTCATCTCTCTCCTCCCCACCTCTGTATGTCCAAATAAGAAATTTTATCTAAAAACGTAATCTTACCTTCTAAAATGGAAGGCTTTATGTTTGTTTCTATAATATCTAGTCTGTTGTATTTGTAGACCTAAAAGGGAAAAAATGCAATGATTTTAAGTCAATAAAGAGCGAATTACTTTCAAAGGTAACTAAGATATTTTGCAGGGGTGGAAGCCTATCCCAAGGCAGCCAACTGACAGTCAACTAACTTCAGTAAAAACAACACTGTGAATCTGGAGGATGGACTCATAATATTACAAAAGAAAAATTTTAAAAATATGTTTAAAAGTACTGCTTGCAGGCTGGTCCGATAGTAGTGGGTTATCAGAAACTATTAACATTAGTGCAACTAAAGTTGGTATACACCCACCACAGCTGAATTTGACTGGCCTTAAAAAAAAAAAAAGTACTGCTTATCCTTAGATCCAGGACCAGAACTATTTCTTAAACTCACTGGCCCCAGAGGACAATGGATTCCAGCTGACCTCATATCCTTTGTTCTCTCTGTCTGGGTGAGCACCAACATAAAACTCCCTTACCATCCTCAGAGCTTCTTCCCAGGCCGTTCCGTCTAACAGCAGGAGAACAGCTTCTTCATAATCCTAACAGGGAGCATCAAGGAAGATAACAGGTAAATTAATGCAGCAAGGGTATCCGACGCCATGACCACAAACTGACTACAAATATGCCACTGTCCAAGCTTCCCTCCACCATTACAGTGCCAACTCTTAGCATCCTGCCTGGCCCACAGTCTATGTTCAACAAATACTGACTTAGAAGACAAAGGAGGGTGTACATACAAGAAATAACAACAAAAAAACACAGTAAGTATCATCTCTTTATATCCCTGACCACAAACTTTTTTCCTTCAACTTCAAGCCTCTAGAAAACAGAAAAATCTGTGAATACTGGTATACTCTTCAGTCTTCAAAGACTTTTGATTCTGTACCCTTATCAGAGAAGAATATTTTTAATATATATCCCAAACTACAAGTCATATAAAACCACATAAAAATTAATACATTTAAACAGAATGAAATATATAAGACAATTAGCTATATTTTCTCAAATAGTCATTGTCATACAAAAAAGTACGAGAGGATATATATTAGATTAAAAGGCATTTCAAGGAACCAAGATACAAAATTAAACACACAGCCTTAGATGGGACTCTATTTAAATCAATATATTATAAAGAAGACTTTTAGAGTCACTGGGAAAATTGGTATATTAATTAGTAGATAAAATTATGATCTAATTAAGAAGGAGAGATGGAGATCACAGTACCAGCAAAACAAAGTAAAAATAGCACATAAAGTACAAATTCATTTTGGTTAAAAATACACCCACAGGCATTGGGGAAAAAAAAGGTTAAGAAATACAAGCTTTCTTTCTCATTGCTGTTGAGTTAAAATCAACTTCTGGATAAGTCACCAAGGTTGTAAACAACTGCACAGGAGAGCTTGCTAATCTTTTTCCTATGAAGCTGCTAGTAGATTCGAACCACCAGACCACTCAACAAGGTGCCAAAAATAACAATCTCTCTGTGGCAAAAAGGTGTCTTTTTTTGGTATTTGTTTACTAATATTTAAACAATGCATAATTACATATGCAACTTATAATAATTTATTTTCATTAACAATTTATTTATTAAAATAAGGCAGACAGAGGAAAAAGCAGCCCCAGGGGCCTCTGGGACAAAACCAAGAGGTCTAACATGTCTATTTAAATCCCAGACACAGATGTGAATTCTACCACATGTAAGTTATACTTTAATTTTCTATTTATTCATTTATGTACAAACATATATATCAATTTATTCTCATGTAGAGTGGGGATGAAGTATCTTATCAATTCAATTAACAATTTTAGATTGTGTATTTTTCAACTCCAACTTTTCTATTCTATGCATGCTTTACTCCTTATGGTTTTCAATTCAATCATACAACACAGGTGCTTTCCAGGATCTAATAAACAATATTAACTATCTTTTATTCATCCTAACTGCATGAAAGGCATTTAAGCTTTTTAACAGCACAACTATGTTCTGCAAATAGGTGCCTAATAATGCAAAAATGCTTGCTCATTCAAGGTCAAAATTTTAGACAACCTGTGTGCCATTGTTGGTGCAGTTTCACTCTTTTCATAATAAATCCTATCAAAACCTCCTATGAGTACTTATTCTTATTGCCTGCTGGAAAACAGAATTCCTCAAGCTGCCCAAGATAAAGATATATTTCCAACAGAGAATGTGGGAGTAAAAAACAAAAAATGTTCAAAACTTCGATTATTTGGCTTTTAATTTGGGACTTTCTACCAAGATCAAATGACCAGTGCATTCTACCAGTGTAGAAGAGCTCTCTGGCAGGGAATGTGACAGAACTTACAATTACTTAGAGACATACTGACTTTAGATCTTTAAGGCAAGCCCAATCTGTTCTGCTTACTGATTGAAAAGGTATGGAGACAGGATGCATCCCTGATGCACTCCTTTCCTCATTTTGAACCATGCAGCGTTTCCCTGCTCTTTTCTACGAACTGCTTCCTAGTCAAAATACAGGTTTCGCATAAGCACAATAAAGTGTTTCGGATTCCCATTTCCCTCAAGGTTAGCCACAATTTTTTGTGATTCACACAGTCAAATGCCTTTGCATTGTCAATGAAACACAGATTTTCTTCTGGTACTCTTTGTTTTTTGCCCAGATCCATATGACACTGGCAATAATGTCTCTAGTGCCAGGACCTCTTCTAACCCCAGCTTATACTTCTGATAGTTCTCAGTCAATGTACTGTTCCAGTCATTTCTGGATAATCTTGAGCAGGATTCTGCTAATGTGTGATATTACTGATATTGATCTATAATTTTGACATTCTGTTGGGTCACTTTTGGAATGGGAATAAATATGGATCTTTTCCAATCAGTTGGTCATGTAGTTGTCCTCCAGATTTCTTGGCACAACTTGGTGAGCACATGCAGGGTGGCATCTGTTTGGTGAAATACATCAATTGGTATTCCATCAATTCCTGGGGCTTTATTTTTTTCAAGACCTTCAGAACAGCCTGCACTTCCTCCTTCATCACCACTGCCTCTTGATCATATGTTGTTTCTTAAAATTCTTCTGTGTCAGCCAATTCTTTTTTGTACAAGGACTGTATACTCCTTCCATCTTCTATTAATGCCTCCCAAATCATTCAATATACTTCCCACAGCATCCTTAAGCATTGCAACTTGCGGCTTGAATTTGTTCTTTAAATCCCTCCGCTTAAGAAATGCTGAGTGAGTTTGGCCCTTTTGATTTTCAACTCTAGCTCCTTGCACATTTCATTACAATACTTTGCCTTGTCTTCCCGAGCTGTCCTTTGAAATCTTCTATTTAGTTGCTTAACTTCTTGATTTCTTCTCTTTGCTTTGGCTTCTCAGCACTCTAGTGCAATATTCAGTCTCTTCTGACATCTATTTTATGTCAGATTGAGGTTGTTAACAATTACAGCTTGCTTTGCTCCACAATCAACACTGTTAACACCAGCAGTCAGGAAATAAAATGATAAATTGCACTGGGAAAATCTGCTGTCAGGTACCTCTCCAGAGTGCTGAAAAGCAACGATTTCAATCTAGAGACTAAGGTCCACCTAATCCAGGCCATGGTCTTTGCAATCACTTGTTATGCTTCAGAGAGCTGGATGATGGCCGAGGATCATAGAGAAGAATCGATGCCTTCAAGTTGTGGTGCTGGACTGCCAAGAAAACAAATAAGTCTTGGAAAGGGTGAAACCAAGTTTCTCCTTGGAGGCTAGGATTTGAAACTCTGTCTCACATACTTTGGGCAGGTGGCCAAGAGAGACCAGTCCTTAGAGGAGGACATTATGCTTGGAAGAGTGAATGACAGCACACAGAGGAAGACCTCGGATAAGATGGATTGGTACAATAGCCGAGGCAGTGGGGGTTGGTGTGTCAGAATTATAGGGCAGGTTTCAGAGCTGTTGTGCATACGATCACTATGGGTCATAGGTGACTCGCTGGCACATAACAGTAAGTCGAGCCAGCAAGATGGAACTCCTTCAAGGCAAATACTCTCTCTGGATTTAATAATCACCCATTAACCCTTTAACATTCATTATCAGAAAGATACAAGAGAAGTCACTGTTTGAGAACAGGGGAGGTTTTAGAAGGAACTGAGCTCACCTGGGCATACTGCTCCAACACTGTGGCTGCATCACTGTGCTTTCTCTGTTCAACTAGTTTTCCTGCAAAAGAATAACAGCAATAAGCATTTCACCACAGTTGGTTTGCTACAAACAGCATTACCAAAACTCAAGTTGAAAGTTTTTATTGGTACAAAACAGTTTTGGTTGCTTAAATCATGTCTTTAAAATAGAATTCTAAAGAGTAGAGCCAGAGCTCTACATAATAAAACAGTATGCTTTTAAGTGCTCCTGAAGGAGTGAAGTATCTGTGCATAAAGTGTTAAACAAAGATTCTTTACTGAAACGCTTCTTCAATATGCCTTAGATAACAAATGATGTTCTTTGTGAATTTCTGAAGGAAATGGGTAAATATATCTTGGAGTCTTACCTCAAATGGTAGGTGGTCTAAATTTAGCATTTGGTTTGAAATCCTAAGTCGTCAAAATTAGCCTTGAAAAATAATTGTAAAGCAAACATATAGGAAACTCACAAAGTATCCCTTACCAGTCCTTTCTTTCTCTAATATTAAGATACTGTCATTTCATTGTTTGAACACTAGAGGGAGGTAGTTGGCTGCTGTGTGAGAGTCATGCAGCATGTTAAAAAAGCAAAGAGGTCATTTTGTGGACTAAAATGTATGTGCCTGACCCAAGTCAAGGCATTTTCAATCACCTCATAAGCATATGAAAGCTGAATAATAAATAAGGAAGACTGAAGAAGAACTAATGCCTCAGAACTATGCTTTTGGTGAAAAATACTGAATATACTGTGGACTACTGGATGAGTTAACCAGTTTCTGCCCAGAAATTTGGAGGACAGCAACTTGGCCAGCTGACTGGAAAAGATCTGTATTTGACCCCATTCCCAAGAAAGATGATTCAACAAAATGTGGAAATTATCAAACAATAGCTTATGAAAGCTAAATATTGTTAAAGATAGGACAAAAACAGCTAAAACAGTACCTTGACAGGGAACTATGAGAACTTTAAGCTGGTTCTAGAAGAGGCAGTGACACCAAGGATATGACCCCAATGTCAGATGAATACTGGCTAAAAGCAGAGAATACCAGAAGGATGTCTATTTGTGTTTTATTGACTATGCAAAAACATTTGGCTGTGTGAAATCTTAACAAACTATGGCTAATATTGAGAAGAATGGGAATCCAGAATGCATAATTATGCTCATACAGAATCTATATATACCTAGGAGGGACCAGCCCCTGGAGAAGAACATCATGCTGGTAAAGTAGAAGGTCAGCGATAAAGGAGATCTTTAGTAAGACAGACTGATACAGTGGTCGAGATACGGGGCTCATGTACAGCAGCACCTGTAAGCTGGTGTAGCATCAAACAGTCTTAGCGGATTGTACACAGGGCCACTCTGAGACCAACTCAACTGCTCCTAGCAACCACAACTATCACTCTACTGCTGTTAGCATTCACATGTTCAAGATGTCGTTATGAAGATATAAAGCCACTAAATAAATCAGGAGCCCATAACACAAAGGAGCCTGAATGAAAAATGCTTTCTCAGATCATGCTTTTCTTTTTTATTTTAGATTTTAATGAAATGACCATGCTCTTGATCAACTAAATAATACTTCACTCAGTACGAGTATGAGAGTTTTAAAAATGCACTATTTTTATAAAAAGAACAAGGGCTGTATGAGGATGACCTTCTTCAGCTTCACAAAGGGGATCTGTTCCTGTTGACATCAACAACTAAAACCAATTCCCATGAGCTCAGCCATGTCCCTCATGCTCCCGTGACTCCTTATGTTCATCCCAAAACCAATCTTACTGCTTTCCTTGGTCCAAAATTCCATGTGATCACTCAGACCACATAAAACCATACTGAGGAAGTCAAAAGATTATAACCCAGGTTGGTACCAGAATAGTCAGGACAGCTGCTCACAGGCACCTCAGCTTTGAGCCTTGCGTCTTCAGAAGCGTGTTACAAAGCTCTCAGTCCTGCCAATTATGGCTCATGGAAGTGTGGGATTTTGTGAGAATACGTTTAAGGTTTAGGAAATGCCGTTAAAATGGCTACTTTTGCTGCTACTAAAATGGAAAGAAAAGTTAAGCACCTTAGTTTTGGCTTGAGACGAGGCCTGAGGCTGTATGCACATGAATAAGGTAAGTTAAGGGTAGAGAATGAAGTTGAAATTGGGAATTCCTTGGAAAGTTTATGCATTTTTTGTTAACTTTAGGACTATTTCTGTTTCTTACATATAGAAATGCTAAGATATATCGTAAAAATGCTTAAAGTTTTTACTGACTTATGTTTATAGGATATTGATATCTTTTTTTATGTAGTAATATTAAATGTATATTGTAAGATATATGGAAGCAGGAGTGGCATCCACTTTGTAAACAACGTGCCTCTGTAAACTCTATGAACTTTGATAAATGATGATAGTTAGAGAAAGGCTTCAGGCCTTTTGTTCATAGGATCACTATGAGTCATATTTGACTCAATGGCAATCAACAACAATAATGTAGCAATGTTAAAGAATACTGGATAATGTGTATTTAGAAAGTGTGTAAGTCCCACCTTTATCTTCTCAAGTGGATATACTAAAAAGTAAACATTTGCCCTGAAAAATAATTGTTGAAAATAACAGAATATGTTAGGTGGCTTGGGGCTCAGCCTAGGGGAGAATTAAGCCCACCCAGCACTCTAAGATATGCATTTGAATGGATTTATAGATCCTCCTTGGACATTTGATTGAAGAGATTAACAATTAGAAGAAAGAGAGGGGCGTAGGGAGACTTGACTTTTTAAAGCTGCAACAACAAACAAAATGAAGCTTCAACAAGTGGTTTGGCTTCTGAAGCAGGGTAAGGTGGGCACCCATCAGAGCTCATTTCCAGGAATGGCAGTTAAAGGTAAGTATGTTCACTTGTAGTGACCACCTGGGTCTAATAGAGTAGATTTAGGAGGCATGCAGCAATGACAAGGTAAGCTGAGTTTGGGCATGTGCCATCAGCACGTTGGACCTAGCATGCACAGAGGTATGGATAAGCCCAAAGGGTTGTTGGCCTGAGGAGCATGGAGTCACGAGAACCCCTGTCTTGTTGACTTAGCCCACGTGAGGGCTAAGACAGTGAAGAAACCAGTCAATTTGGGACACACACAGGAAGTGGACTCCTAAGTTTACAGCTGAGGCCCATTCTGGATCTAGAAACTGATGAATGGAGATGAGTTGACCAGAACCCAAACAGATGAAGATGTTTCATGCCGTCAGCTTTGTTTGTGTTGACTGCTAAAACCTGATAGTGTTCTTGACCACACTTTGCTTACAATGCAGATGCTAAACGTTCTAACTGAAACAGAAGCATTGTATTTCTGGGCTTCTCTGTTATAACAGCATAATCTTGATCCTCATTAATACCAATCTAAATTAATTCTCAAGAGTGGTGATGAGACCATCTCAAGAAATCACTACTCATTCATGGACTGCCATCAAGTCTGAACTGGCTCACAGGTGACTTTGCAGGGGGGTTGGAGGTTATACATTGAGCGGGAGACGCCCCCTTTCTTCCACAGAGCTACTGGTAGATTTCAATTGCTAGAGTGGCAACATTTTCTGGATTAGCAGTGCATCTCCCTACACATTACACTTTCAGTGCTCTCAAGCCATACTGCCCTAAATTTACTTGAAAAGTTATCAAACAAAACAAAAGAATCAAAGGGTTTGTTTGTTTTTTTAAGAAGACCCAGAAACAACTGTGTTTACCTGCCAGAGTCCTGCCCAGGCTGGCCAGCTCATCCCCGGTAAAGTTAAGGTGGGCTGCCATGCAGAGAGCTTGTTGCCAGCTGCCACAGGCCTGAAAGGCTTCTAGCGCTTTGTCATAAGCACCAGAGCGGGCAAACACAAGTCCTGCTGGTTCATGGAGTTGCCCCTGCAACAGGTGTTCCCCATAAGCAATACTGATATCCTGTGAAAAGAGGAAAGGGAGGTTAGTGATGGCATGTGAGGATGCTTACACTGAAATTCCAAAGGGGGAATGGACCTCAGTGATTACACCTGAAACCAGTACCCTGGGAAAATCCAGTGCAATCAGTTAGTCCATTCTTGCATTCAAAGCTTAACTGAGAATGTTTCATTTATACACCAAAATTACTGACTACTTATCCACTAGTCTGAGCATGTTTACTGTCATGCCAAAGCAAAAACACCAAACAAATAATATGAATGATCACAAAGTGCTTGCTCTTGTGGTGATGGGTAATGAGCAATGGACTAACAACTACAACATGGTCTAGGACACAATGGTAGAAAACAAGAAATGGACAGGGAGCAATGAGAGTGCTCTTTCAGAGGGCTGTCAGGAAACCTCTAAGGAGGGGATGTTTGAGAGAACTAGAATAAGCCGTGTTAGGGGTTTACTCCAGGCAGAGTAAGGCTGGCACTGAGCTAAGGTAGGAATGTATACTATTGGTGTGAGGTATAACAAGGAGGCTGATGTAGCTGGATCAGAGAGAGCAAGGAAAAAGTAAAGAAAGAGTAGAGAAAGGAAAGCAAAGGCAGCCGCTAGTCTGACACTGCATTTCCCAGGCTCAGTGGTCGACAGGGATACAGGGAGAATACCACATAAAGGCCTGCCCGTCCGTAAGCCACAGCACGAGGGGAGATAAATCAGTAGGCTAGAAGGCAATCTGCTCATCTGTGTGACCAGTCAATATGCAAGGTGTGCACTACACCCTCAGGATGTTATAAAGAGGATGTTAAACATTTCATTTAGAAGCAAGGTATCTGGGATAAGAGAAGAGTTCAATAAAGGTTTGTGAAACAAACAAAAAGGAAAAGTTACCCTGAGATACACAGAAAGAGCTTTATTGTTTGGGACACTCAACTATGCCACTCCCAGTGGGGCTAGACAGGAGGAGATGAAGAATGGAGCAGGGAAGCCCACATGGAAATGACTAGTATTCCAGATACGCGATCAGGGAGAACTCCTAGTTTCAGGCAACAGTATTTTTTTTAGAACAAACAAGAAACTCAAGATGAGGCTAATGAATTGTAACATAAAACTTGAACAAGGATGGTGTCAGGGAGTTATACAGCTCACCCCTTCCCAACCAACACACAATGCAAAACTAAGGCTCACCCCTTCCCAACAAACACACAACGCAAAACCACAAGTCTCATCTCACACTCCATACCTTGTACTGCTGCGAGCCTGGTGGATATAACTTCAGAGCTTTGCTATATAAGTTTTTATCTTTTATTAAGTTTAGACATTCTGGGAAGAACTCTGGGCCTGTAGGAGTAAGAGCCACACAAACACAGGCTTAGACTTTGGAAACATAAGGAATTTAAATTATATCAACAGAAATCCTCCAGTAAATCAGCAAGCCTCTAGGAATTTTAATTTTTAACAAGCTCTAGCACAGACTTTAATGTATGAGACTCACTAATTGGGATAAGCATTCTACTTGAATTCTTCTACACTATCCTGAACAAATGAACATTCTGTCAGTTGTGACTCGTAGATGATCCTCCAGCAGGTTTCTGAGGATATAAACTACACGAGAAAAGAATGTCTATCACTCCCCCTCAGAGCTGCTGGTGGATTTGAACGGCCGAACAGTGCCTCTTCTGATCTTGTGCCAATCTTATTATCTCCGACACACCTACCCATTACCCCAGTCACTGAATCAATCCATCTCATCAAGGGTCTCCCTTTCCTGCGCTGTCCCTCCACCCTCCCAAGCATGATGTCCCTCTCCAAGGACTGATCCCTCCCTGCAACAGGTCCAAAGTATGTCAGACAAAGCATCAGAATCCTTGCCTCCAAGGAGCAGCCAGGCTTCACCCTCTGCAGGACAAATTTGTTTATTCTCCTAGCAGTCCATGATATATTCAGTACTGTTCTCCAGCACCAAAGCTCAAAGGCATCAATTCTCCTTCAACCATCTCTAGTCATTGTGGCAAGTAATTGCCAAAACCATGGCCTATTATCAGGCACATTTAGTCTCCAGGCTGACATCGTTGCTCTTTAGTACTTTGGAGAGGTCTCTGACAGCAGACTTTCCCATTGCAATTTGTCTTTTAATTTCCTGGCTGCTGGTACCAAGAGCGTTGATTGTGGAGCCAAGCAAACTAAAGCTGTTGACAATCTCAATTTCTTCACCATCTATC